TTCGACAGGGTGGTGGCTCTGTCTTTATTCCAGTGTTAAAAAATGTACAGTATTTATTTTAAAATAAATGTAGTGGGCCAGTAATTATATTTTCAGCCCTATGTTAGAATAAGCATAACTCCTTGAATAAATACATTCTTTAATTCAAATAAAACAATCATTCAATATGATACAATTGAATAAAAATCTTCCTCCCTTTAACTTTTTAAAAATGTACTTTTTATTATTACTATTATTAACAATGTCATGAAATTTTCTCAGTGCTAAAGGATAAATAAGTTGCCTTTTTATACCAATAATGGGTTCCTGCACAGGCAATTTATACGATAGTTCTCATACAACAGATAGTGGGTTGTATGTATCAAGTCCTGCATGTGTGTGCGGATCAACATGTTCCTCAGATGCACAAAATCACTGTGAGATGGATTCTCAACTGTTGGAGAGAAAAAAAGTGATGTTTACATATGATACCTATCATTTATGACCTCTGTGCTATATTCAGTGAATGAAAACATAAAAAGTTGGTCTCTCTCTGTATGGGAAAGAGCAATGTTATCCTTCAGAACTTCTCATTTTGTGTTTGACAGAAGAAAGCACGGTGGCTAAGAGAGATCAACGCGCTGCAATTTAAGAAAACACATGCAAATAGATAAAGCACAAGCAAATTAAGAAAACACATGCAGATAGATAAAGCACAAGCAAATTAAGAAAACACATGCAGATAGATAAAGCACAAGCAAATTAAGAAAACATCTTTATCATTTTGACAACACATGTGCTGCAAATACTCAAAATACAGAAATGCCCTGAAAATACTCGCAACACAAGCAAATACAGAAACGTGCTGCAAGTAGAACAGACCACAAAGGAACCCTTACGAAAATTAACCATGGTTTTACTACAAATAAAACCAAAAAAACCATAGTTACTATAGTTAAACCATGGTAACCACAAATTAACCATGGTTTTGCTAACCATAGTTTAACCATTATATTTGTGGTTAAACAAATGGTAGTCAATACGCTAAAAAAAAACATGGTTACTACACATTTACTATAATAAAACCATGGCTAATTTTCGTAATTCATAAGGGAAATATTTCAAGGGGACCCCAACATCCCTCACGAAATTTAACCATGGTTTTATTATAGTAAAAAGTGCACTAACTGTGTATTAACTATAGTAACCTTTTTTTTAATAGTTAAGCAATGGTTAATTTTCATAAGGGAAGTTGTAAATGTAAGTTGTGTAAATTGTGTAGCCTTTTTCGTCAGCTTATGTAGGCTAATAATAGAGATGAAAATGGCTTGCTAAATGCAAGATCAGTATTGAACAAAACATTTTTACTGAACGACTTCTTTTTATCAAATAATTTAGACTTCTTATTTATTACCGAAACCTGGCTTACGGCTGATGATCTAAGCCCTCTATCTGAACTTTTACCTGTGCATTGCAACCATTTTAGCTGCCCCAGAACTTCTAGTCGGGGTGGAGGAGTTGCTGTCATTTTTAAGGACCTGTTCAAATGTAAACTTTTGCCCGTTGATGTCTACTATAGTTTTGAGGTTTTAATGTGCAAGGTGGAGCTTTCCAGTCCTCTACTCTGTGTTTTGATATACAGACCTCCAAAAGCTAACAATGACTTTTTAAAAGAGTTTTCAGATTTTTTATCAGATGTGGTTCCAAGTGCCGATAATCTCTTGATTGTTGGTGATTTTAATATACATCTGTGTTGTCCTTCGAGACCTCTTTCAAGAGATTTTGTTCAACTTTTGGACTCTTTTAATCTCACACAATACGTCTCAGGTCCCACACACAAGCTGGGTCATACTCTTGATCTTGTTTTATCATCAGGTTTCCCTGTCAGTAATGTAACTGTTAGTGAGGCCGGACTGTCTGACCACTGCCCAGTTTTGTTTGACAGTGTGATTACTTGTTCTAGCCCTGTAAACCAGTCTTCTACTTATCTTTCTCGATCTATTAACACCTTCACGGCCCTGCAGTTCACCGAAGCTTTTATAGCCCTGCCAGCTCACAGTAGTGTCCTGGTAGCACAGGATATAAGTGTTGATGAGTTGACAAATAGCTTTAATTCCTCTTGTTCAGCAATCTTAAATGTAGTTGCTCCTCTCAAATCCAAAAATACTAAACCAAAAAATCAGCCATGGTTTAATAACAACGTTAAAGTTTTAAGGAAGGATTGCAGAAGGGTAGAAAGAAGATGGAAAAAGGATAAGTTACAAATTTCATATCAACTTTTGCAGAGCAGCTTGTCTAAATTTCAGGAAGCCATCTCGTTGGAACGGGCAAAATACCTTTCTAATTTAATTAAAAAAAATTCTCATTGTCCAAAGATTTTGTTTTCTACGTTAAATTCTGTGTTAAATCCATCTAGACCAACTGGCCCAGATCCTAGCTTAGAGTTATGTGAGAAGTTTTGTAACTTCTTCATTAACAAGATTGCTTCTATCAGGGTGCAGATTCCTTGTAATTTATCCCAGAATTTTAAATATGAAAACACTAGCTCCTCTGTGGTTTCAAACTTTCAAGATATCTCACTTTCTGAGTTGTCAGACATTATTTTAAATATGAAATCAACTACTTGTTCTTGTGATGTTGTTCCTACAAAGCTGCTGAAGGATGTTCTGCCCTCTGTTTTGCCGAGCTTATGCTCTATTATTAATGGTTCTGTACAGACAGGCACTGTCCCTTCCTGTCTTAAACATGCTGTGGTCCAGCCTTTACTCAAAAAAAACAAATCTTGATCCCACTGAATTAAATAATTATAGGCCTATTTCAAAACTGCCATTTCTGCACAAAGTTTTGGAAAAGATTATATTTAACCAGATTTCCCTCTACCTAAATTCTAATGATATTCTGGATCCTTTTCAGTCTGGCTTTAGAGCAAAACATAGTACTGAGTCAGCTCTTTTAAGAGTATTAAATGATCTCTTGTTATCTGCAGACACTGGTAACTGTACTATTCTCTTATTATTGGACCTGAGCGCAGCTTTCGATACAGTAGATCACAGCATCCTGTTAAAAAGATTAAATCTTGAGGTTGGCATTTGTGGTACTGCATTAGACTGGTTTGCATCGTATCTCACAAATAGGAGCTTTTCGGTGGAAATTGGTGAATTTTCATCAAGCTCAGTTCCCATCACTTGTGGAGTACCCCAGGGCTCTATTTTGGGTCCAATTTTATTCTCCCTGTATTTGCTCCCTCTTCGTTTTATATTTGAGTCTCATAAAGTTTGATACCACATTTACGCAGATGACACTCAGCTTTATTTTTCTCTAAAATCAGGTTCTGATTCAGTGTCTTCCTTGCTGGCTTGTTTAGATGACATCAAGAATTGGATGGAAAATAATTTTCTAGAGTTGATGCTCTTTATGCTGGAATTAACCAGTCTTCACTATCACGTTTACAGTTGGTACAGAATGCTGCTGCTCGATTTTTGACAGGGACAAAAAAGAGGGAGCATATTACCCCTGTGTTAGCTTCACTTCACTGGTTACCTGTTAAATTCAGAGTTGATTTTAAGGTTTTAGTTTTAGTTTTTAAAGCACTTCATGGTCTTGCCCCAACTTACATTTCAGATCTTCTCCATTTCTATTCTCCTGAGAGAACGCTTAGATCGTCTTCTCAGAAGTTATTGATTGTTCCAAAATTTAGTTTAAAATCTAAAGGGAACAGAGCTTTTTCAGTTCTTGGTCCTACACTCTGGAACACTTTGCCTTTATCCATCAGATCATCCCCTACGTTATTTTCTTTTAAATCATCTCTTAAATCATATCTTTTTTCTCAGGCTTTAGCTTAACTTGAAAATACTTTTCCTTTTTTCTTTGTTTGATGATGTTTGCATTACTTTTTGCATTATTTAATTATTTCAAATTTTATATTGTCTTAATGCCTTTGTTAGTTGATTTTTCTGATGTTTTGGTTGTGCAGCACCTTGTTCAGCTCTTGTTGCTTTTAAGGTGCTATATAAATAAACTTGACCTTGACCTTGACCTTTTTCCCTTTTTTAATTTTAGTCAGTGTGTAGTGTGTATGTTTGGGCATAAAAAAGATCTAGAAAATTACAAATCTCAAAGTCCACTCCAAAGAGAGATATTTCGTTTTTTAAAAATCCCTTTTCAAGAACTACAATGAACGGCTCGTTTGGACTACAGCGTTGGTTTCCGGGCTTTGTGATATCACAAAGCGGCTCATTAGAAGATCATTCAAATTAATTCCTGCCTACAGAAATTCGAATGGTTGGGGGGTGGGGAGGGGCGAGGTTGTGATTAGAACGCTTGGTTGAGTGAGTGCATCAGACGAGATGACGAAGAAGAAGTGCTGCTGCAGAGTTAGTGCATCAGAGAAAACCAAGAAGAAGAGCTTCAAATTTTCGGCATGTCTAGAACAATTCTTACAAGTATAACACAACGTAGCTGGGCGCCGTGGACAGATGCCGAACAGCGCCGCCGGTGTGCCTACACGCATAGAAAATAATGTATTTGAATTTTAAAAACGTGACGCGACGCGACACTGCACTTCTCGTCCGGTGCGCGACCGCCTGAAATGCTGTTTTTTTTCATCTGATTTTCAAAACAAAATCAAGACTTTGTAAGAGAGCATGATAGGACCCCTTTAAACATTTCCGATGTGTCTGTGTGTATTTGAAGCGCATTTCTGTATTTGCTTGTATTGCGAGTATTTGCAGCACGTTTCTGTATTAGGTCGCATTATGATTATTTGCAGCACATGTGTTGTCAAACTGATGAAGATGTTTTCTTAATTTGCTGGTGTTTTTTCTATTTGCATGTGTTTTGTTTTTTTTAGCTTTCTCGGCCAACGTAAGAAAGTCAGATTGGAAACAACATGATGACAATTTTTATTTTTGAGTGATCTATTCCAGTTAAAAAATAACTAGGCTCTTTATACTTTAGCATGTTAAATGTTGCCTTAAGTATACAATAAATGTAACATCTCATGAAGTAGCAAGTAAACATACTTTCTACAATACCCTATGGATAGACACGGGCTCAAACTCTCCTGCCGTTTCTCTCTGCTACTGCATTACTCCCAATAACAGCAAAGGGTATACTTCTCTATGAAAGGATATGGAAACATTATAGAGTTGTCACAGAATTTTTATAAAAATTATCAAAAGGCCAAAAAGCTAAATCCTTGTAAAAAAACAACAACAAAAAAACATAAATAAATAAATAAAACTTCATTATATTGAATGTGCACTTGTACTGTACTTAAAATCTTAAAAGTATTTTTTTTAAACTGTACTTGTACGTAATACCAATTAAATAAAAGGCCACTTAAGTGTACACATGTAAGTACACGTCGTAATAATGTCAAATTAAAAGTTTTACTTTAAAAAACATTTTAAATCATTATGTTTCAATAATCTTCTATTGTGCTTTAAAAAGTACAATTATTTTAATGTAAACTAAAATACTAAAAGCACATGTAAAGTAGGCCTATTGATTATTTTAACTGTAGTGTGGAATTTGAAATTACATTTAAAGTTAATATATATTAAATTGAATAAATGTACTTTTCATCATTACAAATGTGTATTTACAAATATATTCAAATAAATGACATACAAGTTTCAATAATATGGCATTAGTTTACCAAATTACAAATGCTTTTTGTGACATTTAACAGTACACTTTACTTTTTTGTGTACTTTCTTCACAAATGAAATAATGTGTCATTACAACTTTTAAAAAGCAAAACAAAATCTGTGACTCTTTTCTAGTAGAAAATAATAATCACTATGTGACCTGTAGTCCTGACCTTTATCTCTTCAGTCTGCTGCTTGAAGAGATCTTTATTATCAGGGTCACACTCTGGGACCTGGAAGATCTTGATTTTGAATTTGTCAATTTCAATCAAAATCTGTGGAGACAATTGCATTACATTTGTTTAGACAACAGATTTAGTGTTTTTTGTTGACAGTCCCATGCATGTTCTCAAACATAGATACTCTTTTGAAACATCTACTGTATGTGAGTTTTCCTACCTTTGCCTTCATATTGACAGATTCCAAAAATTAAGTACTTGTAACATTACATTATATTACATTTTAAAATGCACATAGTCAGATTACAGTTACTTTTTTATGGATTACATGATTACATTATTCACAAAATGGCAGTAAAATAGTCTTAATTGATAGATTCTCTCTAATTCTTCATTTTTATCTTTTAATTTTCACATATGTTATGTAAATACATTTGTAAACCATGCTTCTCATTTTTTGGGGGGGGGGGGGGGGGGGACCACCATTCAAGCACATATGAAACAAATAATTATGCAAGTTAGTACTAAACTGGTGATGTATATCTGTGAATCATTATGTTGTCATCATATCCAGTGACCTTCAGTAGCTGTTGATTCTGGAAGTCTGGACAAAAATATTTTAAACCTGATAAACTTTGGGCATGTCATTTCATTGTTGTTTTCATGTTTATTAATGTTTGTGCATATAATGCAGGGATTCACAAATGTTTTTGTCTGCCAAACCCATTAAAATAAATATTTAATTGAAATATCTCCGAGGAAGTTAATATTTCAATAATTTAACAGCACATGCGCATGTTTACAGTTCTCTGATGTCAGTTAATGGTCACATTGACATGCCGGTAAACCAATAAAATATTTATATTTTTAGTGTTTAAATGATTTTTATTTTAAATTTTTATGATTTAATTATTAGCTTTTTATCACTCAAAAACCCACTGCAGTTCTTACACTAAGCCCAGTTTGGGAAACCCTGGTGTGATTTTATGTTTAAAGGGGTCATATGATGCTGCTAAAAAGAACATTATTTTGTGTATGACGAATGAGCAGCAACCACATGTGACGGCCTGGATTCCGCTTCGTCCACGGTGAAAGTTGATGTATTCCCTCAGCGACCAGCACAGATCAGCTCTAGGCATGACGAAGCAGATATCGTCCTCTTTTGGAAGACCAAACAAAGTAGTTTCGCTTTCACAGCGAAACACACAGCTCTTCATGACATGACTGCAGCGTCAACAATACTACAGTGAGAATAAAAGTTACGCCTTCTTTCTTTTTTGCGTGAACATTTGGGCGGCGTTATGCAAATCTTCCCACATCGTGAGGTAGATATGTGGGGGCGTGTTAGAACGAGACGTTTTAGGTAGGCGTGGTTGACTCTTAACTTTTATAAAGAATATCTCTTTGGATTTGAGACTTTAGTCTTTGCAACTTTACATATCTTCTTTATGCACCAAGAGCTTGTAACACTCCAAAGAGAAAGGAAAAATTTTATCATATGACCCCTTTAATGCATTTATGATGTTGATATAAAAAAAATTTATATATATTTTCTTTCTCTTTTCTCTATCAATATGGCATGTTTATTGGTAAGTTTAAAATACGTTTGATAATTTAAAAAAAAAAGTAATCTAAAAGCAATCTAAAAAGTCAGAATACATTCCCTAAAATAATAAACCTATTATGTTACTAACTAGTTTTCTTCACATAATCTGTGCAGTAACGGAGTAAAATTTGTAAGTAATCTACCCAGCACTGTCAGTAATTGCTTCCTCGTTTTATTTTTGTATAGATTTTTTATTATTATTATCATTAATAGTACTTTTAGTGTAATAAACTATGTGTTACTGTTTGATTTTTAAATGGAGTGGGTTGCCTCATGATGTGCCATGTTGGGATGACATGATGAGCTGAATTTCACAAAAATATCACAAAACTACCTTCTATTGGACAGTTTTACAGGGAAATTTAATCATAAAACTCTTTGCTGTTGCATGATGCATCTTCACCACTAGTTGTCGTATAAGATTAAGACCACTGTTAAATGAATGAGTGGAACATATACAAAAAAATGACTGAGTGCACCTTTAACACTTAAAATACCTTTCATGATTATTAAGGGCATCTCCAAAACCAGGGGTGTCAATAACAGTGAGTCTTAGATTTACTCCATCTTCAACAATGTCTACTGTGTTCTTTGTTATTGATACTGTCCGAGCTGTCTTCTCTGCGAGAGAGAAATTGATACATTTCACACACAAAACTTCTCTGCAATTCAGTTTCTTTTATAAGTAGTATAAATAGAAATGTTGTTCAATAATGTTAGGTTTACCTGAAACATCAGGCATGCATCTGTCTATATAGAGGTTTGTGAGGAAAAGGCTGTTGACAAGAGTGGATTTGCCTAAGCCAGACTCACCTAAACATAAAATAATATATTTTAAAATCCCCCCCCCACACACACATATATATACTGTATATATACTGTATATATATATATATATATGCAGTGCTGCTTGAAAGTTTGTGAACCCTTTAGAATTTTCTATATTTCTGCATAAATATAACCCAAAAGATCATCAGATTTTCACACAAGTACTGAAAGTTGACAAAGAGAACAAATCAGTCGAACAAATGAGATGAAAATATAGACTTTGTCATTTATTTATTCAGGAAAATGATCTAATATTATATATATCTGAATCTCTAGGATTAGCAGTTAATTTGAAGGTGAAATTAGAGTCCATCTGTTCAGAGGTGTTTTCAATAAGTGGGATGATTATCAGGTGTCAGTGTGTGCCCTGTTTTATTTAGAGAACAGGGATGTAACAAAGTCTGATCATGTTTGTAGAAGTGAATCATGGCACGAACAAAGGAAATCTCTAAGGACCTCAGAAAAAGAATTGCTGTTGCTCATCAGGCAGAGTTTGGACTCCACAAATCTACATTTAGACAGATTGTGTACAAATGGAAGAAATTCAAGACCACTGGTACCCTCCCCAGAAGTGGTCGACCAACAAAGATCACTCCAAAAGCAAGCTGTGTAGTTGAAGCGGTTTTGTACTGAGGAATGGGCTAAAATTCCAACAAGACGTTGTGCAGGACTGATCAACAGTTAGGACTTGTGTGAAAATCTGATGATGTATTGGGTTATATTTATGCAGAAATATAGAAAATTCTAAAGGGTTCACAAATTTTTAAGCGGCACTGTATGTATATATATATATATATATATATATATACAATCATGTGACACTGAAAATTCAGATTTGCCATCACAGGAAAAAAAAAAAAGTTTTAAATTGTAATATTGTTTCAGAATGTTACTGTTTTATTTTATTTTTTTATCAAATAACTGCAGCCCTGATGGGCATAAGAGTCTTCTTTCAAAAATGGCATTGTGTGTGTATATTTATGTTATATGTTCCTTACCAACAACCATCAGATTGAACACAAATCCCCTTTTCACTGCTTTCTGTTGGACTTGGTTTGGCAGTGTCACAATGCCAACATATTTCTGGGAGGGACAGTGAAACATAATCTGGTTTGTGTACAGTATATCACATCACACGTTTTTAAAGTTTAACAATATTACTGTTTTTACTGTATTTGTGATCAAATAAATGCATAAACATAAGAGACTTCATCACACTTTGGCCACTGAAGGTCCAGGTGTGCAGCATGTTACAGTACCTCTAAAAAGTCATGGGGGTCAAAGCGGCCCCCTGCAGGATTCTTGGGTCTAAGAGGTGATTTGTCATCAGCGGGATGAGTCTTTTCTTCAGAAAGAGAAGAGGATGAGCCGAATGTGTGAGAGGAATGGATACTTTCATCTTTGTCCTCTGCTTGAGTGGAGTCACAAAGAGAAGTGTCAGGATCCCCGAGGAAACTCTCCGTTCCAGAGTCATCCAGTGCTATGGAAAACTAGCAAAAAAGGCAGAATGTGTCTGAATGTGATGATTGGCAGCTTGTGTCAATTTGAACCTTTCTCTTAACCTTTTAGAAAACTATGTATGAAATATAAAACTTATTTTAAACTTAATTTTAGAAAGTAATTTCCATGACAACACTAACTGTATATAGCAAACATATTAAACATTTCTCTATAACAACAGCAATTTACTGCTAAGAATAAAGAAATTTTTTTTCGCAAATGTAAAAATTGACAGATACGTTACCTTGAAAGTCAATGTCCTCAATGTGTAAACCTATAGTGGATGTTTAATAGACATTGTGCATATAATAGATGCTGTTAGACTTTAGAGTTTTTATGTTTGTGAGAGACCCTAGTGATGGATGTTTAAAGGGGTCATATGATGCGATTTCAAGTTTTCCTTTCTCTTTGGAGTGTTACAAGCTGTTTGTGAATAGATAAGATCCCTAAAGTTGCAAAGACTAAAGTCTCAAACCCAAAGAGATATTCTTTATAAAAGTTAAGATTGGTCCATGCCCTCCTAAAACGCTTCGTTTAAACACGCCCCCACATGTCTACGTCACGATGTGGGAAGATTTGCATAACACTCCGAAATGTTCACGCAAAGAAAGAAGGCATAACTTTATTGTTGCTGTCACCGCCGCCGCCATGTTGTGAAGACACTGTGTGTTTCGTTGCAAAAGCGAAAATACTTTGTTTGGCCTTCCAAAAGAGGACACGACTAGAAATCAGTGGTTAAGTTGTATTTACAACACTGTTCCAGAACACTTCAAACCAAATATTCAGATGTGTGCAGCGCATTTTATGGAGGACTGTTTCCTGATCCTGTGAGAGTAGACTACAATGCCGGCTGTTCTGACTCACAGTCTGTAAGTACGTTTTCATATTTAAAGGATTTGCCTCTGATTATTCAAACGTGAGTTTTGAACAGTGTAGAGTAGCGCTCATTGTTTGTAATTTCTCCGATCACAAATGCAGACATGGTTTTATGTTTACGTGGCGCGATGCAACGCAACGTATAAAAAGACAGCATAAGTCATTATAATCTGTAATGATGTCCCCACTGGATGCAACAAATGCCTAGTTTATATGTAAAAATCGACATGTTTCAGAAAGGTGGGGCATAGAGGAAAAACAATAATGTACATTATGTGGAAAATAAAGTGTTTTTTTAACCTTAAACCGCATAAACACATTTCATTACACCAAATACACAAAATAATGTTCTTTTTAGCAACATCATATGACCCCTTTAAAAATAATAGTAAAAATAACCTCTTATTTTCCTTTCACATTCG